ACCTAAATCGACACCAATTTCACCATATTCAATCAATAATCGGACGTGTGGTATTGTCTTATATAAAATATATACACTTAGCTGTAACTCATACCAACACTATTTAGAGCGTGGGGAAATACTGGTGTCTATATTGTGATTTCTATCATTTTGTAAATCTTCTATCAGTCTCTATTCTTACCGCCTCCGTGGTCGAGGGGTTAGAGTCGATTATTTCTAATACAGTTTCCTCTCTGGCGTGGGTTCGATCCCTGGGAAATGCTTTGGTAGTTTAGCACGGAGGAAGGTAGTCAAGTACTGCTGTAACTCTCCAGAAACAATGGCTAGGAAACTACCCGCCTATATGACTGAAATACTGTTGGGAAAAGGCGTAAAATGAAACAAACAAACAAACAAAACTTAACGTATGAAAATGACCATGAAGATGTGTGTTGTAGAAAAACATATCTACGCCTCATACATACTTTATTTTCGTGTGTCCACTCTTTAACGGGAAAAAAGGGAATTAATAAAAAAATCTTATATAGTTACAGTATCAGTAATTATATTTTTGCTAGAATTTTTTTTATTTTGTATTGACATGTATTTTGAGTGTGTTGAAGGATATTTGGGTAGTATACAGGGTCCTGGGGTGGGCCCCTGGAGGTATATGGTTTGGTCCAAAGCCGATTACCTGTGGTGGCCAGACCCCGTGTTCACAAAGATTAGGGGATCAGAATCAAATTTAGAAAAATAAATATTCTCCATTATTTGTCCTAATATTAATTTGCATGTTTATAAAATTTTACAGTTGATTCAATATTGATCTTGATCCTAAAATTGATCCTTATTTTGATCAGATTATTTTTGTATTTGAACAACAATTGGGGTCACCACCCTACTTTTAGAGTTATAAGCCCTTGAAAATGAGACTTTTCTCTTTTAGGTAATTCTCAAGAGAAGACAACTCAAAAATAAGCATTTGGTAAATTATTTATTGTTCATTATTATTAGTTATTACGTTAGTTTAGCATCTTGTGGTTGAGCGTTTATATTATGGGTTGAGGCATCAGAATTGCAGCCACCGTTTATCCCTGCGTGACCGTAAGTGCCGACTAAATGTTTTATATGAAGTGAAGTGATTTTGACCCCTGGTGTTGCTTTAAATCTGTAACAGCCGGCAAACTATGTTTCAATACCAAAACACAATTGTAGTGTCCTTCAAAACATGGACATAACAGGAAGAAAATTCAATTTGCGTAAGTAACTACCAAATAAAATATGATAGACAGAATTTCAGCAAATTTGTGATCATGACGGCGAAATAAAGTAAGAAATATGAACATGAAATCAAATAGTTTGCCTGTCGAAATTTTGAGTTATCTGCACCAGAAAATGACTTGAAAAGACTAAAATCTCACGAACAAAAGAAAGATGGAGACCACATTTTTCATAAACGTGTTTCTATTATGATTTTCTGCAATCATATAAAGTTTAAGAAAACGTTTTGGTAACATTTTTCTTCGTAACAAATGTTAAGTTTCTGCGATAGAGTTTTTTTATCTGTACTCAATCCATTGCTGAGAAAATATAAATACAATAAGAATAAGGGACAAGCTGTTAAACTGAGCCTGCAATTTCGTGAAAATAATATTACAATGCACATGCTTTTTACATAAAGTTATTAAATACAAATATAACAACATATTTGTTTACTTATTTTTACGAACATAAATAAATTAATAACACAAAAGAATTAACTGTAATAAAACAGCCTTTTCCATAGGTAAAATAAAAAGCATTCCCAGTAAGAGAACGAACGCCGCCTCACCCGGCAGCCGCCAAAAGTACCAGTTAGAAAATTTGACAGCACATTCACTAGAATAGAGGGGCCCTATGTAAACATACATAAAAAAAGACTAATATATACGATTGTTTTATATTACCTGCGATACAACAGCGTAATTCATCTTTATTTACACAATAATACATTATAAATAAAGTAAACACAGACCTGTTTATCATGACTTCATAGCAAATAAACAATTAATTGTCGATTTTCTTTAATACATATATAAATAAAATTAGCACCCCTTTTAAAACAAGAAATGAAAATAAAGAATAATTTTTTTTTATATATTTAAAGGGTAAATTTTAATTCAAAAATTTATAAATTTAATTAACACACATTCTAGAATCACATTTTATGGTACAAAACGCAATTTCCTCAGAAAAAAAAAACACCATAAAAATGTGCACATATATCTTTTAATATTTGTAAATTTGAACATAATAAGACATACATGTATGTGAAAATACACAGATATCTGATATACAGACAAGCACAAAATACGGAGTACAAAAAATAATTCACTCAACCTTAAATAACAGTTAACATCCGTATTAAAGCTCATTGCTTTTGATCACATCAACAAATAGTTAATATGTATACAATGATAGTTAATGCCATTTGTTGGTTACAGGTACCTTAAATTATAACCACAGGGCGTTTGCCACATTCATCTTGCCAATAATGGTCACATTATCATAAAGTAATATCCCCTTTATCATCAAAATCCATTACCCATTTACTTTATGTTTTTGATGATCAAGGGGAGATCATTTTTATAATAATTTCACCATTATTGGCAATATACAAATATCCAATATACAAATTATACGCATATACGACAGAACATGCATGCAGACGTAACTGTTAAGATGGATAACCCTCACATAGATTATTTTATTATATTGTCACCATAATGGTACAGTCGGGTCATTATATAAGACAAGATCTTAACAGGAATATAATTATTTAGTCACAAGCATGAATACATTTTTTATCAATAACAGTGATCACGTGACGTGAAATATGATCTCAAAACGATAATGACGACTGAAAAGGAATAGAAATGTGATACGCATACTGATAGGAAATAAATGTCTGAACACACGAATATTTATTTACATTCCCTATGTTAATACATGTATACGTACTTGTGTATAAATGCAATATATAAAAAGCTGTTTCTTTCTGTATGTATGCACTTGTGTATAAATGCAATATATAAAAAGCTGTTTCTTTCTGTATGTACGTACTAGTGTATAAATGCAATATATAAAAAGCTGTTTCTTTCTGTATGTATGCACTTGTGTATAAATGCAATATATAAAAAGCTGTTTCTTTCTGTATGTATGCACTTGTGTATAAATGCAATATATAAAAAAGCTGTTTCTTTCTGTATATAAAAAGCTGTTTCTTTCTGTATGTATGCACTTGTGTATAAATGCAATATATAAAAAGCTGTTTCTTTCTGTATGTACGTACTTGTGTATAAATGCAATATATAAAAAGCTGTTTCTTTCTGTATGTATGCACTTGTGTATAAATGCAATATATAAAAAGCTGTTTCTTTCTGTATGTACGTACTTGTGTAATAAATGCAATATATAAAAAGCTGTTTCTTTCTGTATGTACGCACTTGTGTATAAATGCAATATATAAAAAGCTGTTTCTTTCTGTATGTACGTACTAGTGTATAAATGCAATATATAAAAAGCTGTTTCTTTCTGTATGTATGCACTTGTGTATAAATGCAATATATAAAAAGCTGTTTCTTTCTGTATGTACGTACTTGTGTATAAATGCAATATATAAAAAGCTGTTTCTTTCTGTATGTATGCACTTGTGTATAAATGCAATATATAAAAAGCTGTTCTTTTTGTATGTACGTACTAGTGTATAAATGCAATATATAAAAAATCTGTTTCTTTCTGTATGTATGCACTTGTGTATAAATGCAATATATAAAAAGCTGTTTCTTTCTGTATGTATGCACTTGTGTATAAATGCAATATATAAAAAGCTGTTTCTTTCTGTATGTACGTACTTGTGTATAAATGCAAATATATTAAAAGCTGTTTATTTCTGTATGTATGCACTTGTGTATAAATGCAATATATAAAAAGCTGTTTCTTTCTGTATGTACGTACTAGTGTATAAATGCAATATATAAAAAGCTGTTTCTTTCTGTATGTATGCACTTGTGTATAAATGCAATATATAAAAAAGCTGTTTCTTTCTGTATGTATGCACTTGTGTATAAATGCAATATATAAAAAAGCTGTTTCTTTCTGTATATAAAAGCTGTTTCTTTCTGTATGTATGCACTTGTGTATAAATGCAATATATAAAAAGCTGTTTCTTTCTGTATGTACGTACTTGTGTATAAATGCAATATATAAAAAGCTGTTTTTTCTGTATGTATGCACTTGTGTATAAATGCAATATATAAAAAGCTGTTTCTTTCTGTATGTACGTACTTGTGTATAAATGCAATATATAAAAAGCTGTTTCTTTCTGTATGTACGCACTTGTGTATAAATGCAATATATAAAAAGCTGTTTCTTTCTGTATGTACGTACTAGTGTATAAATGCAATATATAAAAAGCTGTTTCTTTCTGTATGTATGCACTTGTGTATAAATGCAATATATAAAAAAGCTGTTTCTTTCTGTATGTACGTACTTGTGTATAAATGCAATATATAAAAAGCTGTTTCTTTCTGTATGTATGCACTTGTGTATAAATGCAATATATAAAAAGCTGTTTCTTTCTGTATGTACGTACTAGTGTATAAATGCAATATATAAAAATCTGTTTCTTTCTGTATGTATGCACTTGTGTATAAATGCAATATATAAAAAGCTGTTTCTTTCTGTATGTATGCACTTGTGTATAAATGCAATATATAAAAAGCTGTTTCTTTCTGTATGTACGTACTTGTGTATAAATGCAATATATAAAAAGCTGTTTATTTCTGTATGTATGCACTTGTGTATAAATGCAATATATAAAAAGCTGTTTCTTTCTGTATGTACGTACTTGTGTATAAATGCAATATATAAAAAGCTGTTTCTTTCTGTATGTACGTACTAGTGTATAAATGCACTATATCAAAGCTGTTTCTTTCTGTATATAATGGCATGTAACATATTCAAAAATGAATGTTTTTTTTTCATTTAGTACAATATCTTCCTTGTGCACAATTGATTCGCTGACACATTCGTTTACGAATAAACAACAAAATAATACCGAGTAATATCACAACTAGTAAAATTCCTGAGATAACTTGTTTTAGGTGAGAAAATGTCCACCATATAACTACACCATCCCACTGGTGCCAGGATGAGCCGGTCATGTGACGAACAAATTTCCTCATAACCGGTTCTTCCAGTAAATGTATTTCTTGTTTTTCGCTGTAAGACTTATACTGTGCATTGAGAAACATTGGTCCAGTTGTATACATGGTTGTTACATACGGTAGCACATACCAACGGTTCGCTGACTCCAGACCACAAACTACATGTTTCATAAAAGGATGTTTCGGTTTTGCTATCATAAAATCATTAGACACAACCGGCGGGCTTGTTAGATACAAAACAATGTCCGTTGTACTCTTGAATGTTTTATATAAGTCATTAAGCTGTTTTCCAGTTGATTTAATGTCTAGGTCAACATAAATTCCACCATACTCGTACAGCACAATGTACCTCGCCATGTCTGCACGTCGAACCCAGTGATCGTAACTGTGGTATAAATCCCGTAACTGCGGATACCGCTCCTCTAGAAGTTCCTCAACCATTGATGCATTCCACAGAGTGTATTTAAAACCATTATGATTATATTCCCATGTTTTTCTGGCAGAATTCAATCTTTCTGGTAATGTTTTATCCGTCATGTAGAAAAACATTTGATGAATATGCTTCGGTATAACACGTGATTTGTTTACACTGATATCTTGGGCGGAATCGCATGAAAATCCATCAATTATGCTGTGTTTTTTAACGTAAATATTACTGTACGAATAATTGTTAAGTGTAGCAAGCAGAAGAAAAACTGTCGTCTGCAAGACTGCAAAATACGCCAAACATTTTGTACGCCGCATTGAATCATTAACGCGACGTCTGTATTACAAAGTCATGTACATGTGTTTTAAAGTTCCCTTTACCCGCACAAATATTTCCAATTTGCCATGTAGACACTATAAACATACACTGCTTTACATTCAATATGCAACACGACACCTGGTCGCCATCTTCAGAGTGGTAACCTGATAATGCAAAACATTTGTACCTTCCGTCATCGTCGGATTACCCACGATACATAACATGTACATAAATCTAATTGTGTCGATATAAAGCAAAAGATGCGTAAAATGTCAATCAATGAAACCGTGTTTAGCAAAATTTATATTCTTCTACAGCGAAGGTAAACAACTAATTATAACAGAAAACAATCCCCCCCCCACGGTTTAAACCTGTTGCACGTGTCTTGCCAATATAACGGCAATACTATCCCCAAACTAAACTATTCCACAAGCAAAGACCACAATAGTTATATTTTTCTAAAGTCAACGTTTCAATAAACGTCGATTTGATTGGTTTTAATCGCCTCATGAAATCGTGAGACACGCCATGAAAAGGCTGTCTACGGCTAATAATTGTTGGGTATCCGACGATGACCTTCTTTCAGACGATCACGTTTCGCCACTCTCGGCATGCTTGGCATGCGCGTTAATGTTTGTGTTTTTCTACACATATGAACTTGTTTGTGTTTTTTACGCGCATTAAAGGTCAAACTGTCCCTTATCAGACATATCCTAACCAGGCTGGAAAAAATGTGAATAAACAAAACATTGCACCAACATCTTTTTACTGTCATTCACGAGACGTGAAAATATATATCTTCACACCTTGCAGCTTCTGTATGTTTTATCCCTGGCTAGGTTTGAAGAAGATCAAGTGATGGAAAGTTTTATTTGGAACTTATCTTCATCCCCTAGCCCATGAGAAGATTTTCAACCCTTAAGATGGTCCAGTCATTGTTAGAAAGAAGCCTGGCGCGTCGAAGACTCGTGAAACGTTATTATACTGGATCGTCACTAAATATTATTTTTTCTAAAATAATTAAACAAAACCAGTTTTAACCAAGCTCAAAATAATTGTATTCAACATATGACTGTACTTAGAATCCAAATAATTTTTAATTTTGGAGACAAAATAATTAATCATTCAGGAAGCATTATAGGTGACGCAGCTGTCTATAAACTTGATGTAATTAATGCATTGTGTACACCGGTCTTACTGATATTTGAGAAACCGGTGTGTAAATGTGAAAAAAGGATTCTTTTTTGTTTTTTTACCAATCCTAGCAGTTATGTAAATACAATAATAGCGGTAATATGATCCATCATAATGTAAACAACTACATGTACTATGTTATCATCTTTACGAACAAGAATTTAATTGTCCGAGACAATAGTCTCAATATCTCAAGGTCACAATAGTTGTATGAGCGCATTCGCAACTTTTCGGCCGTTTACGTCATGCTTCAACAGAGAGACTAATCGATCAATGATGTATTTACTGTGCAATATGAACAAATCATGTAAATTTTGTGGGACTCATGTATTAACTGGGCGACCAATCATGTAATTATAGTACGACCACTCATGTTTTAAATGTGCGACCAATCATGTGTTTATTGTGCGGCCAATCATGTATTTATTGTGCGACCAATCATTTATTTATAATGCGGCCAATCATGTATTTATTGTGCGACCAATCATGTATTTATTTTTCAACGAATCATGCTTTTATTTAGCGACTAATCATGCTTTTATTTTACGACCATGTATTCACTTAGCATCTCTTCAGCCGTAATTCATTTATAATCTATATGACACGGTATATTTCTATACAGTTTAACTGTTTCTAATATATCACCTATATTTACTGACTGTAACACGTGACACGTTCCGTTTATAGAATCAATCCACAGTCCTTTTTGAAACTTAATACTCGTACACCGACAGCAGTAACCATAGTTAATTGATTTTATCACTTGCGGAAATTCAAGATTGTATGGAAGAGCATTATTTAAAGTCAAAATTAAAAACTTGCGTTTAAAATTTATATTCACGATTAAACGAAAAAAAATAAAAATGTATATTCCATACATGTCTGGAAACTTAATTAGCATGTACAATAGTGCAATTACATATTATTGTATGCCTTTTTACTTTTTGTAATTTCATTTTCAAATAGTTTATCCTTTCAATATCTTGCTAACGTTATTTCACGGGGCGTCCGTGGCCGCTGTGGGTTCGAATCCCGACAGGGACTTGGATAAGCTATCCAGCTAGCTTACGGAACGTCGGTGGTTCTACTCAGTTGCTTAGTTGTCCGTTCGTGTCTGAAATAATGCAGCGGGGGGCACATTAGGCCGCTATTCCATAAGTAACGTGTCATGTGTGACCCGCGTAGTGATCGCGTGTCCGGGCATGTCCGTGGGTATTATTCCATAGGTTCGTTATTTTTATATACTTTTAATTGAAGTATTGCGAACAGAGGATAATTATTGGTAGAATATGAATTAACTTCATTATATACCGAAAAACAACAGTTTGTAACATCAAAGAATTAGGTAACAAAAATTGAATATTCAGTTAGGTTTTCAATAGCATCTCTTTAGCAACGAAGAACCAGATGGGTTTTTTTTTTAATCTGTCATCTCTGCTCGCATATAAACTTGTAAGGTTCTACCAACTATTTTGGCGAGTCTTTTTAAGTATTTTCTTTCAAATCGATAAAAGTATTTAATTTCGTTCGAATTGGCAAAAATTTTGTAGGGACGAGAACATGTCAGGTGACTAATCGCGTCCGAAAAAATCGCTCATCCTGCGAAACGGGTCGCGGATTTGCCGTCGGCGGAAGCGGGATGGTAAACGGACAAAAGGAATAGATTCTAACGTATTCTTTTGATTAGCGAATCGGGTAGCGACGCGGATGATCGGACGCGACCACTGATCACGTATAATGGAATAGCAGGCCTGTGAAGGTCTTCCTCCACCAATAAAGCTGAAACGTCGTGATGTGACCTATACTGTGTCTATGTGACGTAAAACCTAAAACAAACAAACGTTGTTTCACAGTTATTTACTTTGACAACATTTTGGGCAAGCGTTTTGCAATTGCAAAATCTACCGGGCCGATTCTGATAGTTGTTTCCTATTTGGCACGTGATTTATTAACTTCATAGCTTTGTGTGGCTATATAAGCCTCGGCTGTAATCACCCTGTGATATTTATATATTTGTAAATGCAGAAATTTAAATATTACGAAAAATATTGAAACAGATTTTATCGCACGAGAAGTAGTATAAGAGATAAAGGAAAAAATAGCCATGAGAGAGTACATGAATCTTAAATATGATACAAGCTGCTTGATTTAAATGCTTCATATACCCCAAAAATGTTATTGCTATTTTATTATTTCTCAAAAGCTTTTTCATATTTAGTATTCTGTAAGACCATCCAAAACGAATCGGCACTCTTTAACCATCTTTGTTTTTTGCTGCTATATCAAGTGTCTTGTCTTGTCAGTATTTTGTTCGGGATCTTTCCAATATCCGGTTGCAGCGCGTGATATTTTGAGATATTTCTTTTGAACAGATAAATCTAAAAGAATCGTATTGTTCAATTATTTTTGAGTGGTCTCCCTTTTTAAGACTTGAAAGAATATCATTACACATAGGCTGCATGTTCAATACAATTTTTCCATGATCATGATGATACCATAAATCCGTGATGATACCTTGGAAAAAGAAAACTCGTACATAGGGTGTCACCCCGGTATTAGAACCAGCCTGTTAGTAGTCTAGAAAATAGTTCACCCATAGTGTTATGTGTACTTATTCATCTATGCTATATGATGACTTCAAAAGTAGTTGTGTGTCTATTCTCCAGAACCTCATTCCTTGTGGGAAAGATTAAAGATGTACTACATTTCTTTTGTGATTAGGAAGATGTCTAACATATCATATATTTCGAATGGTGCGAAAATTGACAAGGTCTTGTACATAAGTAGGGTCAGATCAGTGCACATACCACGGGTAAATGATAATAATCAATAATAATAATGATAATAATAATAATGATGATGATGTGATGGTGGTTATGATGATGATAATGATATATATAAGTATATAATAAATATGTTCACCAATTATCTAATATATGAATAAATTGTTCAAATGGAGAAATCATAGTTCTATTACACATACATATGTATAACAGAGAAAGTCAGAAATCAATACGGTATATGGTAGAAGTTTAAACGTTATGATAAGAACATATGTATGTATGTCAGTTAAAGTTATTTATAACGCTGATATAAGTAATAGGTGATGTTCACTCGATTGTATCGAATATAGGTAAACCCCTAGTTTCACTTTCGATTTACATTGGCAGCACGAAGATTCAAGTAGTACAAAAATTGAAATGTAATTTGTTTTGTTTTGGGAACACTTTACCATAATAGTGTGGTAAGTTTTTTTTGTTGTTGTGTGTGCGCGTGCGCGTGTGTGTGTGTGTGTGTGGTATTAGATCAGTTCCATTTGAATTTTGTGATCAAAGTATGAAATATTAATAATGCTTTAGGGAAAAAAATACTGCATGTTCGTTTTAAAATGCCTTTTACGGGGTTAGTTTTTTAAAACAGTTTAAATGTTATTAAGAAAGCGCTTTTAAAAGGTTTTTTTGAATGAAAAAACCCCATTTTTAAAAAAAGGGCAAATGGTGTTTAAATTAGATTTTAAATTAACATTGAAAAAGATAATTTAAAAAAAATTTTTTTTGGGGTCCGCAAGAGGTGTGTGTAACAGAGGGGACTGTTTAGAAAAATAAACTGTTAATTTAAGGCTGTTAAAGATAGTTTTATCGGAGACACAGAGTCACATATTCTAAAAGTAAAACATTTTCATAAGACTAAAAAGTAGAGCAAAGTCTTATGGTTGTTAAAAATGAATTGTTAAAAGCCCAAAAATGCATTTTTTTATTTTCAACAAGCTTTTTTTTATTTACAGTTTCCAAAATTTCACAATCAACATTTTTTCTTCAGGTGATAAATATCTCACATGTACTAAATCCATTATGATGATATTATTATACACGTTTACCCTTTGTACTGAAGGAGAAAACTATTCGTCTCTCGGGCACAATGTTCTTTTAAAATGAACACTATTGAGGAATGTGTAGGAAATAGGCGACAAGAACTTAAATAAAAGACTTTTGATTGGTCAAAAAGTAGGTAAAGAACTTAAACATATTGTTTTTTTTTTTTTGTTTTACAGAAGGTAACAGTTTGGGTCGTTGCTCTTTGTCACATTTTATACAAAATGACCGACACTGAGAAGAAAGAATATGATTCAGATTTTTCTGAACTTGCTAAACAAATTGACACCACAATAGACCCGGACTTGGTGGACCAGCTTAACCAGGTTGATCATTTAAATTTGTTTTTTAAGTGTGATGCATTTGGCAACGAGGAACTTATTCCAGTCGGGAGTTGTGTTGATGGGTCGAAGATTACGTTACCTAGTGACAGTGGTGATGTTGATGTGTTGATGATTTCCAACAGGATCATTCTGACGGAATCTTTGTTCGATTATGACTTAGAGAGGCCTGCATTTCTCCATATTAAAGTGAACGAAGATCATGAAAAATACTTTAAAACTGTGCAAGACCCAGTCAACGGAATTTACCTACCAACTAGCGTACTTAAAGGACTGAAAGAAAAGATGTTCTTTATGTCAAAGGTATTTCTGAACGCGGAAATACAAGAAGGTTTATCTAAGGATGGGAAATTCCTGAACGTAACTAGAACGTCAGCTGTCGGCAAAGAACAAATTCAATTGTGTCTGGATGATGAAGAGGTCGTTAATATTCCTGAAAACGCAGATCCATTTGAATATAAAGTGAAAAGAATGGAGAAATTTGTTAGATGCTCTCTGGTTGGAATATTGAATGTGGTTGGTGAAATTGAAGCATCAGACGATAAAGATGAAACAGGAAGACCTGAAAGAAAAAAGTTAGCATATGAAGAAATGTCTTTGTCTGAAGTACTAAACAATTTCATAGACATGATTAAAGGATCATGCGGTACAAGCAATAACGATAACTTCGAGGACGATAAACCTGGCAAACAAGATGTCCATGGTGGTGCAAATTCTGATACCCCACAAAACTTTAATGAAGAGCACACTCACGCTAAGGCAAACAAGTCTTCGAGTGAAAATTTACACAAGAGAAAAATGTCAAAGAATTGTACACCACTACTGAAACCTGAAATACTTAACCCTAACACAGAACCAAAAGCAGAACGTGATAGCGACACACCGAAGAACGATGCTCCATTCTCTATAGCAAAATCTACAGATTATGTCCCTGCATATAGATTCGATGGCTGGCCACGAGTAGCAGACGAGTGGTTAACCCGGTCACGAAAGTGGCCATCGAAGGAAACCATGAAAGATGTTTTAAAGGCTGGGTGTCAGGTCGTAGCAAAACGACCTCTAGCTTTATGTAATATACCGATATCAGACGAGAGAGATCCTTACTTCAGATTGTCGTTTGCACTTTCTGAAGTACATCTTGCAAAGAGCATGAGAGAACCACAGTTGCTTTGTTGGCGTGTATTGAAAGCATACCAGAGATGTTATCTTGAGACTAAACCGAAGTTTCTTACCTCATATCATTGGAAGAATATACTGTTTTGGGTTAGTGAAAGTTTGGACGAATCATTTTGGACCGATGAAAATGTATCTGCAGCTGTCCTGAAATGTCTTGATTTTATGAATGATTGTCTACAAAATCAAAATCTGCCATTTTATTTCGTTAGAAAAATGAATATGTTTGATGGCTGTGATGGAACTCTTTTTGAAGGTCTGAAGAAAAGAGTTGAAGAAATTCGCTGTTCACCAGCTGAGTTCTTGAAATGCTTTATAATGGAGCCACCTACATCTCAGGTGTACTTTATGGATAAAGGTGAAATCGAAGTCATATTTAGTCAAGAAACAAAAGAACAGAATGATACAAAAATGACAGAAGAAATAGTAGATGGGATGTTAGGTATTTTTCTGTCTTCTTATAATATTGACAAAGGCGAATGTTTCATGGAACAGATACACACAAGCATGTTGCAGATTTTGAAAAAGTTACGTTTTGTCAAGAAAGAGAAGTCTTCTGATACTGCTCAAATTTCAGACAAAATGATACCAAAATTTAAAGATTGTATCGAGGCAATGAAAAGAAAGATAATGGGACAAAGTTTAAAGCATTTTATGAGTTTCCCCGTCATTTTTTGACGTTTTACAAGAGCACGAAACGAAAAATGAATCAGAGAAAAGAAGGGGAAAAAAAATGGCACTGTATAAAAAGCTTAAGTCTGGCCCTTTTTAGATATGCAGAAGGCCGATGGACCATCCGAATTTTTACCGTGTTTTAACGAAATGGCAACATTTATGCAAGACGAGCTAAAAGATAAAGCTGACAAAAGAGATGATGAAAACATGAGAGAAAATAAATTTGCATCAACAATAATAGGCGGATTTTCCCAATTCATGAAAGTCGTGCAAAAGAGCGACGAACCAGGAAACCAGAATGGAAATCTTGTTGACGACTTGCGGAAAACTGTTGATGAGATATCACAAGAACTGAGAAATACTTCAGTTACAAAACAGAGTTCAGAGAGGAAGTATGACACTGATATAGATCTTGATTAACTAATCTAAATAATTTTATTTAAAATTATAAAGAGGCAAACATAAAAACAACAGTAGCAAACATCCGTTAAACCGTGGAAGTGAGGGAAACATGTAAATAACAATAGAAATCATTGACACAACAGTAGAAAAGAGAGAAAAAGACATCAAAGCATTTATTTAGATAAAGCAATTCAAAGTGAGTTTTCCGATCTGAACTCATGTGTTTAAATATTTATAAAGCAGCTATCCTACTGCTAAAAATGAAACAAAATCCGCCCGCTTAGCTCGATAGGAGTAACATGTTAGATTTGTTCACTAGGGACAACGGACTTTGCAAAATTATTCGGTGACAATTGATCTGGTACATTGAGTCTCGTTGTCATTTGTCCGTCACCACAAAATAAAAAAAAACAATGCTCGAAATGGGAAATGGAATACGAAAAAAAAATTAAGTCAGTGAATTTAAAAGATACATAGTCAAGCTTAATGCTATTTGAAGGGACCTAAACGTGTTCTCTGTTTTTGGAGAAAAATATAATTATATAATCGTGATGACGGAAAAAAGCTAAATTATAAACAAGTGTGCGAGTGGCTAGGTAAAGGCAGTTCCATTTTTGCGATAATTATCCAACATCCGTTTGGGATTTGAACCGAGTACCCATATAAATATGTATTATCAGAGTTTTGTGATTTTATCCTCTGCCGACATGAAAATGAAGCCCTAGTTTGTCACTTGTGTCACATTATTCCGCTTACAATACACTGCCTTGTTCGCTTTAAAACATGTAACTCTTCGCTTCTTTTGTTTTGAAATATTTCTTTATCAGTTTGAATATTTTTTTACATTTTTGCTTTTGCTTTTATCACAGGAAATCAGTTTTAAGAATTAGAAATTTAGAGTTGAATTGACAAATTAAATGTCAAATTCTAATAAACATAGACAAAACAGAATGCTTAATAAATGTGTCATTAAAGAGTATGAAAAACGTACTAGCATAAAGTATAGTTATTGTATTTATTATTGTTTATACATGATGTAAATTTGTCGTCCAGCACAAGTAGAGGTATATTCATTATACAGTTTGTGTTTGCTTCTACTCCTTATCAAATTGTATTTAATGTTTTATGACCGCTTTCGGAAGCTTGGGCTTGATAAGCTGAAATCATACAACTGAAATTGTCGTATGTTTGTGTCGCCTCTACGGAGTAGTTGCGACATATAGGGATCACTTCTCCGTCGTCTGTCTGTCTGTCCGTCTGTCTGTCCGTCCGTCACAAAACTTGTCCGGACTACTCCTCATAAAATATTGGTGCAATTTCATCCAAACTTTAAAGGAATGATCAGTACCAAGTCTAGTTGTGCATATTGTCAGCATTTTCCGGTTCAATGATTTTTGTCAGAGTTATGGCCCTTTAATATTTTTTATTTTTAAAGTTTGTCCGGACCACTTCTCTTATACCACTAATGCAATTTCAATGAAACTTTACAGGATTGATATGTAGCTCAAGTCCTTGCGCATATTGTGCAGGTTTTCCGGTTGAATGATTTTTGGCCGAGTTATGGCCCTTTGATAAAAATGTGTTTTTTCTGTGTGTTGCCAGATACACAAAAGCTTGTCCGGATTACTCCTCATAAACTACTGGGGCATTTTCATCCTAACTTTACAGGAATTTATGTCGCCACTACTCCGATCACTTCTCCGTCGTCTGTCTGTCCGTCTGTCTGTCCGTCTGTCTGTCCGTCACAAAACTTGTCCGGACTACTCCTCATAAACTACTGGTACAATTTCATCCAAACTTTACAGGAATGATCAGTACCAAGTCTAGTTGTGCATATTGTCAGCATTTTCCGGTTCAATGATTTTTGTAAGAGTTATGGCCCTTTAATAATTTTCATTTTTAAAGTTTGTCCGGACTACTTCTCTTATACCACTAATGCAATTTCAATGAAACTTTTCAGGATTGATCAGTAGCTCAAGTATATGCGCATATATTACACAAGTTTTCCAGTTGAATGATTTTTTACTGAGTTATCGCCCTTGAATATATAACATGTTTTGCCCTGTTAATCATTTTTGTGTCTTCCACTACACTGAAGCTGCAACATAAAATTGGCCATCATGTGGCGACACATGTGGTCACTGATCGCTCTTGTATTCATTTTAATGTGATCTCATCGTATTGTTGTGTGCGTTAAACTTGAAAAAATCAAATCAAATCTAGTCGTTCTTTAATTTTATCTATTGTTTTTGCTATCAATGTATCAATGTATCAATGTAATAACAATTGAATAATTTATTTACTATTTAGACACAAGAACATTTGTAAAGGTCATATAGCCACCTTCTAGCCTAAATGGTGCAGGAAGATCTCAGATAGAGCCACTCAGTAAATATTTTCATGTACAAGCGAAAATTTGACTAGAAGCAGCACTGACCATCGATATGCTAGATTGATGGCATTCTCATACGAAAGAAATAATAGTCCCAGGCAGGGTTTGAATTAACATTGTTAACCACTAGATTATGAACAATTCTCTGTGAAAGACCCTAGTAACAATGTAATTTAAGAGTTAATGATCTTTATTGGCGAACATATCAACATATTATGTAGGATAAAACAATCCATGCACATCTTAAGAATTGACCTTGAAAGTTATCATTTATTGAGCTGCCTGTCAATCATGCGTATTGTATGAGACAAATGAATTGCAAAAGTGTTTAGTTTATATATATCATACGGAAGATCATATTGATCTGCTAGAAACGAACCGTGATAAGATCAATCAAATGCCAAGTCTAAAACCTTTATGGTATCTGAAGAATCCAAAGTAACAATTAATCGTGACTTTTGATGGTCAAAGCACAACGCTTGTGGTATCGTTATGCCATCAACATCAATGGTACATATTTGATATATGTTCTCTGATAGCAAGATGACGGTGTTAGAATTATAACCACACAGAAATAGTTGCTTTCCTGGACCTGAACAAATTCCTTTTAAGTTATCTATGTCTTTGAAAATACGTCTTTGTCGCACCCTTCCGTCATGTGTCATAATCACCAAACATTTGTATGTATCGGCAATGTATAAAAAGTCTCCGTGTTTCTGTATATGTTTGGGTAATGACAAGTCTATATCGTGAAGCCTAAGCATTTTTCCTGATAAAGTGTAAACACAAAGTACACCTTTCCCCTCGCCGTTTTTATGTTTTCCACCACAGGTAACGTAAATATTGCCGCTTACATGAGCAATTCCACGGCAATTATCTCGTACGCTGAATGACGACGACAATGCCATTTTCCCGGTAAGGCCTGCAAACTGAACGAACTTGACATCAGTGAGCGCTATAGCTACACTAGAACCACCTACAAATCACATGGCATTTGGTTGACCAGGCAGGCACAGACAGTTGGTGACCCTGTATTGACTATCCAGCGCTTTAAGACTTCTGTTCTCAAAATCAGTGATATAGATTGTGCCATCATGATGTTGAATGATATCTGTAATATCGCATACCGATTTTTCATTTCGACCTCTCACATCAAAATCACCATTGAGACCGACAGTCTTTATTGTTTTATTTTCAACAATGCTACCCAGGGATTTGATGGTATCAGCAACATCAGCGGCTCGATGATTCATTGATAATTCAATAACTTTCTCCGAGGATGCTCTCATGTGTTTTAAAGTGTTAACACATTTCTGTCGATTTCTCTCCGCAAGTTTTAGTTGCACGAACAGTGTAGAAATGTTGTCTTCAGCTATATGTTTAGATAAAAGACGATTTTCATGTTGTAGGGTGGAAATTACTTTATCCGTGTCGTTTATATCTAATTGTACATCTTCTTCAATTGTAGTTACCTTATCTTCAAGCTCAGATAAGAGATTCGATTCTAATGTTTTGAAATGGTTGATTATTTTGTTGGTACTTTTTGTTATTTGGCTGGAAAGATTACTTTTCTGTGCTTTCAAATTTGCAAAAAGATGACGTCTTTCACTACACATATGTTTCGCCTGATGATTCACCTTTTCTATCTCTATTACGGCATCTTTTGCTTCTTTCATCACGTCTGCATCTTTAGCTACTTTAGGTATATACAACTTGTGTAAGCAAGAACTGAAATTTAAACACAAAAAGCATTGATTACAAAATAAAAGACTAACTTAAAATGTTTTGATAATTGAAAATTTTCTTCAATTCCAAAATTTCTAATAAAGGTTATTACACCTTTTCATGCATTTAAACTGTTTCTACGTCTAGCAGTGTTCAAGGTTTTACAAAAAAATGTTAGTAATCTTCATACCTATGATTAATGATTGCACATGCGCCACAGCAAACTTCATTATGGTCCTGACAGAAGATATCAACAAGTTTCCCATGATGCACCTCGCACCTTTGCGAAGGTAAATCCAAAGTGCTATTCATCCTTTTATCAGAACACTGCAGATTTTCAGATGTCTTCAAGATTTGATGACTCTTCATACTGTCAAATTTAGTGTGTTGTTTCAAACATGTCTGGCAAAGAAAACTATCACATTCTACACAATACGCCTCTGCTTTCATGTTTTTCCCTTCTCTCTGGCACGTTGAACATTGAAATTCATGGTATTCGTCGGAGGCAGTCAGCTCGTGATAATCGTCAACCGAACATTCGGACGTCTCTATGTCGTCCATTTATTCTCGTTTGTTTCCTACAAACGATTTATCACACACTGTAAAAACAGAGTCGCTTTGAATTTAATTTTAGATGGTATGAATCATATCCGGGATTGTTCATGTTTTGTTTCCGATACATTAATGTAGAGTTAAGTGTTTATCCTTGTTTAATAAGTGGTGTTTATTTATGCGACGATTCATCAAATGTCTAACTTTACTGTAAACAGATGTGCGACTGCTTATCTGGTCAGTGTTTCGTTTCGAAGTGAAGTGGATTTACATGTACTTATTAGAGTGGGATTATTTTGTATTGATCTTAAACGGAACAATTGCATTCAACGTGTTTCTGCGGCAATATCTCAAAAAAAAGAAGATAATTCCTGTTTTTCATCTTCAGGACCAAATACCTGCTTTTGGTATCGTCATCTGAATTTTCTGTCACACGAAGCCTAAAATGAATGAGGAACAGAAAAGGGAGGGACGGGGGGCTGGTAAAATTATATGGGATACAGCAGTTGTCTGACCTATCCATATTCAATGTAGTATCTTAGATACTGCTGTATATCTTTGCTTGTATATTCCGTTGCTGCAGAATGAAGAAATGATCCCTATAAATAAGTTTGTTTGATTGAATGGTTGATTGTCACGCCAATTTTAACTCCTTTTTGTTCATCTCGCTGCCGGTTTTCCAAAATCTGTTATTACCATCTTCTTCGCAACTTCTAACCCCATTGTATTTTTGAATCAGCAGTCAGAGCTACATGATACAGAGAAATTTCAGCTCGCCCGAAGATAGAACTAGTGACCCTTGGATAACAATATTCTAATGCTCTACTTAGCTAAACGAGCGAACTTAAACTAATTTGTAACATACTTTAAACGTGGATGTTTTGAAAAGTAACAATTGCCTCTATAATAATTACTCGTTTGTTTTTCCTGTGTAATTTTGTATTGAAAACAATAATGAATTGAAAATGTTTTAAACGATTCTTTCTATCAACAATTATTATTGTCCAAAGAAAGGATACCCATTTTCTCATAACCTTTCGCATTTCTTGAAGATGTTATGTGATCGGCACACATTGTCCGTGTTTATGAATTGTAAAACCAGTTTGACCAAATTAGAAGTATGAAACCGTTACAAACAGTAAACACCCTTTTCTATAGTTTATTAAATAGTGTCTATAAGATATTGTTAACTAATACTATATACTAGAATTACTATAAAACACCAGTAAACACTAGACATAATGCCAGGATCTTTTTAATAAATCGTTTAAAACAGGAAACATCATAAAAAAAGTACTGGTAAAATATTTTATGTGTTATCTCCGGCGGCGTTATCAGTTGGCTACAACAAAATGTTAGTAGTAAAACATCTCGTCTCTAGTAGTTTAATAAGTAAACTGTTTTAACATCTTATTCTTCAGATGCCGATGTTACCATGTTAAAAATGCGCACAACTACTTTATGCTATCAAATAAAACACAAAATTGATGCGATGATATAACAGAAGTCTCAAAAACGATTTGTTCGCATACTATTCACTTAAGGCTATTTTTCCCAAATAAACTTCACGTAACCTGAACTTTGCTGGGGGTAGGGTCATTAAAATGCTCTCGCAATAAGTACGTGTACATTAAATATATATTTTTAACATGGTCAGTCAAATAATTAAATTGGCACGCATTCTTCATGAGTGTCTTGATCGGAATTTAAAATAACTGTATATAAATATACATATATAAAGGTATAGTACGGTGTATTTGGCCTTGGGTAATTGGTACGTATGTAACTTATGCAAATATTTTTTGATAACGATTTGAATTATTTATATCCGTGAAGATGAAATTACTTTAAGGGGTCAAAATCTGCAGACGTACATTTGAACTATATTTTATCTTGACGAGATGATAAACATATCGTGGGTTGCTCAAAAAGTCAATATCCTGTCCGCTTGATTTGTCGTGTAATTCAATGCCGTTCAATGCCAATATTTTCATATCAGTTTGAGTTTAGTTATGTCTGAATTCTCACCAAAACTATAAATTTCAATCTTCATAGGTGACCCCCTTTATCGGGAACGAATACGGCCTTATAACTGGGGCAAATTGTGTGTTCTAAGTACGAGGTACTCTATTCGGGAAGAGTCAATGTTTAACTTTTGCAGATATCACCAAGAACACAAGTACCGGAAGTTATCAACGGTGATGAGTGGCTAGTCATTTCAGTCAGCGTCCTTTTAAAATTTGTCATGGAGGTCGGACTACAAAAATAAATTTGTGTATTTTTGTCCCAAAAGATGACAATTCCATCATTAAATTGTAAATAATGAAAACAGTCTTTTAGACATTAAATAAGATTAAACAAATTTAATGCTGTTCATATACCAGACGACAATTAAGAAACTATATATATGCACGTGACAGTTTAATGTGCAAAATACAACAAGGGAATGAATATTAATTTCGATGGAATATAATTATTGTTTGATAACCTCCCTTCAAAATTATCGCTATATAAAAGAATACATATCAAAAGTTAGTTACTAAATATGTAACATTTTTTCATTTATTTCTAATTTCAATCCAATGTAAGAAGGTCCTTGAATATTAGTTTTTGTCAGTTGATAAATGTCAAGTGTCCTGGAACTAATAAAACGGTAATACATGAATGTATGGATAAGTATGCATGGACATTGACCTGACATAGAACTGTCATATAAGCAATAAGATAATGCTCTTTTTTTCCCCAAAACATAATGGACGCTCCTTTTCTAGTGCTCGTTTAATTTCCGTTTATTAATGTACCGTGCAATTTCTCGATCATATTTGGCAATTCTGATATGTTATTCAAAATACTGTTATAAACTAGCATTTTTCAATTTTAAAGCATGGACCGTGAAGGGGAACGGGACTTAACTTCACATAAAAGGTTGATTTGAATGTTATTATTCTTTTGAACTAGAGACGGATTTTGTTTTCTTGTGAAATATACAGTATATGCCAACAGTTTTGTACAAATGTTCATCGAAACTCAATATAGAATTATAAACTTGTGTGTGTTTTTATATTGTAATAGTTAGTAAAAAGGACTGAAACATATCTGATATATGTTAATTGTTATTTATACATGTACGAATAAGATATGGTAATATAAATTATATAATAAAGATAGTTCATATTTACTTTGTTGAAGGATGGCTGCACGAGGGATGTTCGAACCAGGTCAAAATACTTTCATTATGGTAATGTTTCCCGTAATGGGTTCTATGTATGATTTAAAACTTGACAACATAATTAAGTTGCCTTTTTTAAAGGACACCTTTATACAAAATTTGAACAAAATGTACCGTACGGTTTTGGACTAGTCGGCATTTTTCTGAAATTAATTTAAACCAGTAAAACTACTTTTTGTAAAAAAAAAAGGAAACTCTAAATAATCTGCAATATCATTCTCATGAAAAATGTGTTCTTATTGATTATTATCTAGAAACAAATGATAACTTTCAGCTAAGTTAAAAGATTGTTTCTACTTGGAGTGTTTCAAATATGTATAAAAAAAAGAAACCATACCCCACTCATTTCTAGCACTTGTTTTTTCTAAGAAGTCATCGCATTATGTGACATTATGCCCATTATCCCACATGGGAAAGAAACTGTCTTCTCCTAGGACCAAGTAGTATTCCATACTGTTTAGATTACTGAAAGTTTCATGAAAATTCGCATTACACAAATGTGTAAGCCCAGGCCCCGTGTTCACTAAGGAAAGATCAGGATCAGGATCAAATGATCCTGATTTTATTTTCATTGTTTTATAAAACTAAGATTGATCGTATTTTGCTAGAATTAAATGGTACTTATTCAAAATGTAAAAAAGACTTGCTGATACCAATTTGGGTCAAAAAGCACATGTTTAAAACTCGTTATTCTAAATAAATTCGTTGAGTTATAACCTTGCACCATAGATCAGCTCAACAACAGATATACATATTCATGTAATTAATGTAATTTTGTTTATGTTAAAACAGTAAAGATTCAGTATTACATATATTACTGTAAGCAAATAAACGAAAAGATCTAAATCTCGCCAGATAAATGAGGTTGATGACCACTAACATTCAGTCATTCAAGGTTTAACTAAATATATCTTTATTGTGTGTGGCGATTGATGAGAAAGTGATTGTACACATGTATTTATTTATTTGCTATTTTCATAGGTCATGAATGGTTAAAAAATTTAATAATTTCATACATAGCTAAATGTACTTCTTTAAAAATACGTTCTGTTCTAGTTGTTTTTTTTTAATATGAAAATACTATTACATGAATTTTGAGTTTTGAAAGAGCAAAAAATGATAGTTATGGCTCAGTTTTACAAAATGTTGAAAATGTTAAAAGTCTTTTAAATTTTGGAAAAAAGAGGGATTAAATTTAGTGGTGTTAAACCATTTATTATATACCTTTCATCAGTTGGATTTTATTGTAAAGTGATAAACTTGTTGAAATGGAGTTTAAAGACGAAACAAGTTTAAGACCTCGGAGGTTAGAAGAAAAATATTTTCTATTTCAGCACAGGATAATTATATGCTCCTTTATACGCCCAGTCGTAGTTAAGCCGCGCAATGGATTTAATTTATTGCAAAAATCATAATTTGTTGTTTTTGTTTTTGTTTTTGTTTTTTTAGTATTTTTAGTATTATTAATAAACAAAAGTACTTAAAGATAATAACATGCAACATGTTTTTGATGCAGCACCCGCTGCTTTTGGTGTATATGCAATATTATATACATATAATAAATGTACAATCATGCGGCTTGATACATAAATTATAGATTACTATGATAACCTATATATATGATTGGCTATATATATATACTAGTATTTTATATTGGCACATTTACAGCTTTTAGTATAATTATATAAAATATGGTGTGAATATAGGTCATCAAATTATTCAAAAACTTGTCTTCAGATTAGTGAATCAATATATTATTATTTCAGTAATCGATCACTATTTTTTTTTGGACAAATTCATAAACTTGAATGCTTCAGTGAATACCAGTATAACTTTAACCTAGTTAATTTGAAACTATTTTTATTTTTCAACAGTTTCTTATCTATGGTGATTTTTTTCTGTTTCATAAAAAAGTTGCTCACTGATTATAAAACTGGGGCATTTTTGCTTCTTTTCTGGCAATTAGTACATATATAGCGATTGGCAATTAGCACATAATTATATAGTGATGGACAATTAGTACATATACTGTGATTGGCAATTAGTACATATATAGTGATTGACAATAAGTACATATATAGTGATTGACAATTTGTACATTTATAGTGATTGGCAATTAGTACATATATAGTGATGGACAATTAGTACATATACTGTGATAGGCAATTAGTGCATATATAGTGATTGACAATTAGTACAAATATAGTGATTGACAATTAGTACATACATGTATATAGTGATGGATAATTAGTACATATAAAGTGATTGACAATTAGTACAAATATAGTGATTGACAATTAGTACATATGTAGTGATTGACAATTAGTACATATATAGAGATTGTCAATTAGCACATATATAGTGATGGACAATTAGTATATAATTATATAGTGATGGACAATTAGTACATTTATAGTGATTGGCAATTAGTACATATATAGTGATGGACAACTAGTACATATATAGGGATGGACAATTAGTACATATATAGCGATTGTCAATTAGTACATATATAGTGATTGGAAATTAGTACATATGTAGTGATCGACAATTAGTACATATATAGTGATGGACAATTATATAGAGATTTAGTGTTTTTATGAAAGTCAAATATCAGTATGTGTACATTTTGCTTTCTTTATCGAAAAAATATTCATTTCTACAGCTAAATTTTTTTAATAAAATATAAAAACGGAAAAATTATCATATCGTAACATTATAGCCAATTCTTACATATAATTTCTCTGTTTTAACATGAATATTGTAAATAAACAGTATAAAATGTAACGTAGCAAAATTATAATAATATAGACAGTCGTCATATAGCTTGGTACACTTTAATGTACCTTTAATAAATCATCTTTAGATAAAATGTTCGAAACTATAATTAATCTATGTTAAGTAAACCGTATAACTGGATTTGAAGTGTGTTTCTAACATTTAAAAGTTTATTCAAATAAGTATACTTTAACATAGTACTATATCACCTTGAGTGTTGTATATATATATGTATATATGAACTTTCGTAATCGTCTATGTAAACTATTCGTTTTTTACGTTCATGCTAATTAAGTTGTTCGTGATGTTTAAACTGAAACGTTCATTAAAATCTATGTTGTATTTTATAATGTTCTCATATTAATTAAGTAATTTGATAGTCGTATACTTAATAATTCATAAAAAATCCCTGTTCTAAATTATTGTATGTGTTTAACTGGGACAAATTGATGTGTTGTTAAAGTCAAAGTACATCTGTTTTAATGTATGACAATTTGTGTGACATTAATCATAACTTCAATTGATACTGAATTTCATGAGTACGCAAATTGAACATCTTGTGATACCTGAATACTTAATTGATCTAAATCCATACGACGCAATTATATTTACCTAACTCACTAACGTACGCAATTAATACCGAGACATTACACATAACTACATTATATTCTGACTACACATGAACTACGAATAACTGGAACACATGAACATCAATAATTTACCATTGAACGTACCATTATATTTACTAGACATACAACGAGCATTTATGATACCTGGCATCACATACTACGCATTTATGATTACCTTAACTACGCTTATATTTACCTAAATTACATGAATACCAATATTCCTGAGAATCAATGAATGCATATGATTTACTGAGACATACACAATGAACGTACGCAAATTTTACGCCAAGTTTAATGATTTACCTGAGACATTTCACATGATTACGACATTACACATGAACGTACGCATTAATCATAAACGTACCCAATTAATGATTTACCTGAGACATTTCACATGAACGTACGCAATTTATGATTTACCTGAGACATTTCACATGAACGTAGGCAATATATGATTTACCTGAGACATTACACATGAACGTACACAATTTATGATTTACCTGAGACATTTCACATGAACGTACGCAATTTATGATTTACCTGAGACATTACACATGAACGTACGCAATTTATGATTTACCTGAGACATTACACATGAACGTACGCAATTTATGATTTACCTGAGACATTACACATGAACGTACGCAATTTATGATTTACCTGAGACATTACACATGAACGTACGCAATTTATAATTTACCTGAGACATTACACATGGACGTACGCAGTTTATGATTTACCTGAGACATTATACATGAATGTACGCAGTTTATGACTTACCTGGGACATTACACATAACCGTACGCAATTTATGATTTACCTGAGACATTAAACATGAACGTACGCTTCTTATGATTTACCTGAGACATTTCACATGAACGTACCCAATTTATGATTTACCTGAGACATTTCACATGAACGTACGCAATTTATGATTTACCTGAGACATTTCACATGAACGTACGCAATTTATGATTTACCTGAGACATTACACATGAACGTACGCAATTTATGATTTACCTGAGACATTTCACATGAACGTACGCAATTTATGATTTACCTGAGACATTTCACATGAACGTACGCAATTAATGATTTACCTGAGACATTCACATGAACGTACGCAATTTATGACTTACCTGAGACATTTCACATGAACGTACACAATTTATGACTTACCTGAGACATTTCACATGAACGTACGCAATTTATGATTTACCTGAGACATTTCACATGAACGTACGCAATTTATGATTTACCTGAGACATTACACATGAACGTACGCAATTTATGATTTACCTGAGACATTACACATTAACGTACACAATTTATGATTTACCTGAGACATTCCACATGAACGTACGCAATTTATGATTTATCTGGGACATTACACATGGACGTTATAACACATAAACTTTTGTCATTAGATATTTATCTGTAACTTTACACGTGAACGTAAGAAATCTATAACATACATGCGACATTATGCATGAACCTTTACCTGCAACATTACGTATACATTTCACATGAACGTTTATTTTACATGAACGTATATACAATTTAAGATTAACATTCAATATAAAACATGAACGTAAACGATACACATGAACATATGATAAATTGAATTAACCTATTGTTATAAACAGGTCTAGAATCAGTGTTCACAGCTGGCTAGTGTTTGTAACAGCATGTCTGTCCATGATGATAGATGTCGGCTTCATATTTTCGTCCGGTGCCTTGTTTGTTGATATCATGAACACATTCTCCACGAGCAGATCCGGTGCCGCTCTAGTCCAGTCAGTCCTTATGGCTGTGAGGTTCGGGATAGGTAAACATTTTACTCGCGTATAATAAGTTATTAAACCTATTTCTAATTTTCCAAGATAATTCACTGACCAAACTGGATAAAAACTTATTTCACGAGGAACAAATTCAATTCAGTTTTGAGTTTTTGAAATTAGACTACAAATATTGGATCAATTTCATTCTATCCAGTCACAAGCATTTGTTTTAGATTTGAGAGATTTAAATAATGCATTTATGCTAAATCTGCTTTGGTGATTTAATTAAGTTTTTAAAGCATCCTGCAAATAATGAAATTGCATTTTATGAGTTTATACTGTATATGCATATGTGATGGCTGAATTTTGTTGCGGTATTTAAACATATTCTACGTTTATGTGAATAGGTATGGTAAGTGGGGCTGTGGTTCAGAGATTTGGGGCGTTGAAGGCAGGTTTCTTCGGATCATGTTTGGCGTCAGCGGGTTTGATCCTGTCCTACTTTGCAACCTCGGTCATATTTCTCGTTTTTACCATGGGTGTTTTATTGGGTACACAGGTTTATATACTTACATGAAATATTGAAAAATATTATATATGGTTTGAATTTAAGTCGTACTAATGAGAAATGAATAGTAAAAATATCTTCCCGCAACACTTTGTTCACATTCAAGGTATATAAATCGTACTTTTAGCATCTAAACTTTAAGATTGATGAAGAGTGATTGTTTGACTTTTATCTATATAGAACTATATGAATAATAATTAATATTGATCAAATATTTTTATATAAATATCTTTTTTTTTGCAAATATCTGTCAAATTAAACATTATTGTCTTACGTTGTTTGTGGGTCACCTTTTTCACATATATTCTTTTCAGCAATGGGGTCGTCTTGCTTGTTCATTGCGTCTTCCGTGGCAGTTGGTCAACATTTCAAGGGTAGAACAGGTCTTGTACTCATGTCTGCACAGAGTGCCGGCGGGGGATTAGGTGGCATGCTGTACCCGTTCGTACTCGAATACCTCGGGTAATTGGACTTTACTTTATGATTTTACAGTAGATTTACAGAGATTTTCGCAAGTGGTTTCTTTTCGTAGAAATATGAAGTAGTTTTGCTTATACTTTCCATGAAGAAATTTTAATGAAATAATGACAGTTATTACTTGTGCAAATTTCAAAGTTTTGAATGAAAGTCTAATTTAAGATCAGATAGCCACATACAGTAATTGTCTGATATTTAATACGTTGTGGTTATGTATATAATAGCATAAATTTAAAGTATGCCCAAGTTTTCAAAAGATTAACTACTTTATAAATGTATATATTTTGTGAAATGGACTTACACATTTATACTTCAGAGATCAGTTTGGCCTAAAAGGAGCGTTGTTGATAGTAAGTGGATTATATATGCAACTAATTCCAGCATCATTACTGTGGAAATCACGCGAAAAACGTGTTAAAAATGCGAAACCCGATATTGACAAGCGTAGCCGTGATAAAACAGACGAAACGTTAGAAGAGAAAGATAGGGAATATACTAAATTCATTGAAAGTGTAGATAAATATGAGGATATATCAAAGATAGACTCTGATGACACGCAAGACAGTGTGTTGATTGAACGACAGATTACCGCTATAGACGATCTACGGGAACGTAAAAAATATCAGATACAAAGAGACGATGATATTGAAACAAAACTTGGCAAGGAAGAATCTGTTTTTGAAACTCTGAAACAATTAGCATTTAATCCTAGTTTCGTATTATTTGCAGTAGGAATGGGAGTGGCATATCCTGCGTTAGGAATTCTATTTATATTTATTGTAGATCTATTTTTAGATGCTGGTTTAACTGAGGAGGAAGCATCGTTGGGACTACTTCTGGTTCACATGTTCAGTATTTTTGGAAGACTGGTTCCTGGCATAATTATGCAATCGGGACGGATTTCAACATTGTCTGTTCCTATATTTGCTGCTTTAGTGACGTCAGGAGCAATGGTAGGATTGGCGTTCGTCCAAACACTAGAAATCAATCTATTTTTGTGCTGTTTGATTGGTCTGCCTTATGGAATGTTCGTATCGGTTTTCAGTGTGACGTCGTTGAAACTCGTTGGAATAAAACGACTTTCAAATGCAATCGGAGTGTTGTTTACTCTAAACGGGTTAGGAAGTGGATTGGCAGGACCAGTTAGCGGTATGTACAGACGTATTATAACTATATAGCTACAATTATACATTAATTGAAACATGTTCAAAAGTAACAAGATGTCGTGGTACCAAGACAGAAAAAAAAACCAAGTTACGAATGTGATAAAATTCAACCAAAGTAAACATATTCCAATGTGTTCCCTTACCCCGCTTTTGTCTTTTTAGTATGAATTCCTGAGATCAGAAATAAATTATTCAACATGTACTTTATTGGTTCCAGGTTTACTGAGAGATTCTATGGGTTCCTATACCATACCATTCCTGATAGCAGCTGGAGTCGTATTTGCTGGTTCCCTATTATTCTGCGCGTCTCTACACGTACGTCGGCAACATAAACACTACATTACAGAGACAACCACTCTCTTGCAGGCCGGGAATCAGACTGCCATATCAAACGGTGCCACGTCGTGAATATGACACGAAATGTTTTTACAACTTGAAAACGATACTTAAAAAAAATGTGCTTGGTGTCTAGGTAAAGAAAGGATGAAAAGAATTGCTAATTGTTGATTTTGTACTTCCGGTCAGATTGTGTACGAGAGAAAATGAAGGAAATTTTGAAGTGATAAGCAATGTTGAAGATAAACACATGCCATGTAAAATAACATTATTGTGGGCCTAATGGTTTCAAATTTATTTAATAGGTACATTTTTAATTAGACAAAATAATGGACGGACATACGGAATTCCTCACAACAGGAGTGTGAGCATTTTTTGTTTTGTCTGTTATGTTTTTATTCTTGTTTAAAGTACTCAGTGAGGTCAATAAAGTATCCTAAGAAAAGAACTTACACATTTTTTCCTAGACCCGACAACTGTACTCCTTTCTGAAAAACACTCATTTTTCGACAAACAAAACTTTTTCTTAGTAAATAGAGGATTATAAATACAGGACTTTTTTTTCATCGAATGATATGAAAATAAATAGTTCACAAGTGGCAGTTACTGTAGCCAAGAGTGAAATATGATCATTTTCATACCACAAGATGAAAATAAATCCTGTATTTATAGAAAAAAAACTTCAATTTTCTGTTTATTATATACTTTTTCTCTATTTTAACCTTACCAATAGGAAGAATTCTATTTTAATTTTGTGTATTGGCTGAATTTAGAAGAAAGTAGTCCGGCAAGACACCAGTGAAAATACGGAAAATATGTTTCACTGCAGTGAAAATAATTTTTTACAGTGAAAATACGAAAAAATGAAAAATACAGATTTTATTTCATCAATATTTCTCAATTATAAGTATATAATAAACAAATGTACTCTTTTCCAACAAACAAATGTACTCGTATGTATTCTATTCCGAGAAACAAACATACTCTTTTTCCAACACTTCTGACAAATAAATGTACTCTTTCACAGTGATCTTAAGTACTCGCAAGACATGTATATACTGAAAAGTATAGGCTGGCAAGAAAGGGTACAGGGATTTCGTTTCACAACTGAATTTTATAAAAAGAAAATAAACTTGAACATTATTTCGCACTACAATTAAAGTCAGAGAAGAGAATTGTATTTTACCTGAAAAAAATCCTAACATTACATTCATACACAGTGAAGGAATGCTTTGAAACAATTAAGAAAACGGCTTTAACTTTTATCCAACTCAATTAAATAATTATATTAATTGGATTTCTACGAAAGTATCCTGGTGCAAATTCATAATGATTTTATATAATAAGATGACTCCTACGTTCGTGTTATGCGCTAAATTATAGGTTCTACTGAAGGTGGATTGAATTTCAACACAATGTTCCGTTTTATCATTTATTGTTTCTTTTTCAGTGGAATACCACACACATTTATTATTTATCAAATATACACAGGTTATCCTGACGTTAACAAATACAATGTAAATATTAAAAAGCAGTAACAAATATTTCTAGTGGAGAGCCACAACGTTATTAATTGGAAATCCAAAATCTAACTGTTCGATTTCTCTATCTTTACAATATTTCTAAAAATGGTTTCGTTTTAAACTGACCAATAAAATTTTAACATTTTTGTGTCTTAAATAACAAAATGACCAATCAGGTTTCAATACAAAATAAGGTAACATAGCAACATAGAATTTATAACAACAATCATCACCAGGACATTTTATCAGTCATAAGGTTTAAAAACTTATTAAGTACAGACAGCTTAATTGACTTTATCACCTTTATATAATAAAACTTTTAGCACAGTTGATTGGACAAAGAGGAAAAGCCACATTTTAATCTTCCAGTTACATAATTTTAAATTTGACATCTGTTATTGAAACATATAATATTTGTAACTTAACATATTTGAAATTTCACAAATTTTGTTTTGAAAATATGACCTTTTAGAAAATGATTATATATAGAAAATCATCATGCATATTTATTCTTTTTTTTTTATAAATGAATTTTATCATTTTTCGGCACAACACTGTATAAAAAAGCTGTCTAATTAGGACATATGACTTATTATCTCCTACAGAGAAGATAAAAAAGACTTTTTTCTATTTTCTACTACGTAAGAGTTACATAGTCCTTATAAGGCTTAAAGAGCATTATGAATTGGCACCAGGTCGCTTCCGTAAATAGCTTCTGTAGATACCTGATATTCCCGGCGTGCACATACATGGCACATGTCAAATTTGATTAAGCCCGTATTCAGAAACGATACTCAATCTCAATCTCGACTTAAACTCACGAAAAAAGTCACCTCAAATAACGCTGGAGTAGACTTTCGGTAACTTTATGTGCAAAGTGGTATTTGTTTTGTTTACTCAATCTTACCTCTCGTGATGGAGATTTCAAAAGTTGACCGATCGGTTTTTTTCCCATATACATTGCAAAAGTGTTCCCATGTTGTGTAAAAGAGTGTATTTCACCGAAGTGGAAAAAAAGTTGTTAAGATAATTAAATATTAAAAATCTTAATGTAACAGAAAACCACACAAAATGATTTTAAATTTTGTTTCGATAAAAAAAAGTAAATGGAGAAATTTAAAGAGAATTTAATAGTTTTCAAGTAGTTACTGCCAGAATAGCAACCATTGATTGTTGGAAAACATGAAAGACAGGACGAACAAAAAGAAGCTAAATAAAGTAGTGAAAGGCGTTTGAAAGGCATTTAGAAATGAAAAAAAAACAACATTTCAATAGGGTAAACTTTATTTTGAAAGTAGCATCCATTTTATGTCAATGAAAAGCATTTTCAATACACACTTATGTTTTCTTTTCTTAATCATCTTATGATCTTTTTAAAGGCCCACTATGCATCAGGCATTTTTTTTTCTCTCAAAATTGTTAAATTCGTGGTATCTTGTAACAGTTCTGAACATTGTTTTCATAACACAGTACTCCACGTAAAAAGCAACTTTAAATAGTATTTAAATATTTTTCTAAAGAATTAAAAAAATGAAGAGTAACGTGACTTTTAAAAGACTGTTTTATTTAAATCTTTGTGATTGGTATTTGCAATTATAGAATCTTAATCATTTTAATTTATTTCTTGAATAAAATAAAATGATTTTGTACATGCCCCTCCCCCTTTCAAAAATAAAACAAAACAGCAACAACCCTGTTTGATTGTGATGCTGGAATACCTGATGACTGAAGAGGTAAAACATTATACAGTTATTATTAAAGTTACAAACTGGATCTAAGTAATGAAACACCATACTCGATTAGTAAAGTATATAAATTAGGCTAAACAAATGTTATTAAAAATATTGTTATGTTACGTAGATTTTGATAAGGTTTTAATTAAAATACTCAGACGTCATCAATGTTTACTTTATTCCAAGAAGAATTTTTCTGTCATGTTTCCTTTGAAATATCTTTAAATGTATAAATTAGGAATTCTATGTCAATTCCAAGATTCAAACAGTGTGATATAACTTGTATCAAACTGTTATTTTTAATATTTCAAAAATAAAAAAAATAACTAAATGACATTTGTTTAAACCATAAATATTTATATATGCCTATATTTAGACGCATACGACAAATCATCCGATATCATTGACGGTCACATTGACACACACACATGAACAGTTATTTTAATGGTATGCACGTGAACATTTTTTTCCCGTTATATTTTCGCGGAACTCAAGAAAAACTCGTGCAGCATAAAATGGCCAATGATAATGTGTAACTGTGTCACGTGTAATGTATTAAATCTGTTAGTAAAAGGATATATAGTTCGTGTTTACTTATTCATTCAATCATTCACTAAGCAGGTAAATTTTCTTTGTTTTTATAGATTACATTTGTAACTATTTACTTATTGTCTGATACCAACGTCATTCACAGAAATGTACTTGTACATGTATGCCAGCAGAACAGTAGGCAAACGTTTACCAGTGTTTACATGTACTTTCATCTGTTTCACCGCTGTGGATTCGAATCACGTCAGGGACTTTGGATTCTTTCATGTGACTGTGAGGTAGCTATCCAGCTAGCTTACGGAACGTCGGTGGTTCTACTCAGGTGCCCGTTCATGTCTGAAATAATGCACGAAAGGGCGTCTGAGGTCTTCCTCCACAAGTAAAGCTGGAACGTCGCCATATGACATGTACTGTGTCGGTGTAGCGTAAAACCCAATTAAACAAACAAACAAACATCAGTTTCACGTGCTTGCAAAAATTATACAAGTTGAATTGTATTTAGTAGCAATAAATGATACAGTTGTTAGGAGTAAAAGGTGCTTGCAAAATTAAACATGATGATATAGTTGAATTGTCTGATTGTAAATGCTTCTTTGTGTGGAAACGTTCTCAATGAATGATTTACCCCAGCTGTGGTTAACTGGTTAATACATTAACAGTTCAATGTATAGGTGTAATCATGACCACAGTGATTACAAGCACCGTTTACTTCCGGTCACTGTATCATATATAGCAAGCTTTAACAATTCAACTTTTATCATTTTTGGGCGATCACAGGAAGTAAAGATTTTTTAACAAGACAATGTCTGCCAGAATGGATCCAGACTAGCCTGCGCATCTGCGCAGTCTGATCAGGATCCATGCTGTTCGCTTACAAGCCCTATAACAAGTAGAGAAACTGATAGCGAACAGCATGGATCCTGATCAGACTGCGCGGATGCGCAGGCTGGTCTGGATCCATGCTGGTCGCAAACCCATTATGTTGGTTTTGTCATGACACGGCTCATTTTTTTTATAATTTTCATTTTTGTCATGATCATCTAGTCAGCGTCTGTTCACTTTTTCGTTAAGAACCATTTTTTCAGAAACTATTCAGAGCAATTCACTTCAAATTTGGCATACATGTACATGCTTTTTCTGTCATGAAAGGACGCCATTCCAAAAGGGAAAATATAATCCTAAAATTAATTTTTACAATGTTATACTCCTTTTTTAATTTAGATTTTTGTCTTAGAAAACCTGTTTGTTGAGGTCAATTTTCTCGAAACACGTTTCACATTAGTTACAATAATCACACGTCTTTGAAAAGGATTGTTAGAAAAATCTGTTAAAAAAATAAACAAGATTTTAAAATATTTTTAAAATTTCTAAAAAAAATATAACTTGTTTGATTTGAAAATCATAACTTATGTTGCCTATAACAAAACTTTCCGTTATTTAAAAACTAACTCAAAACACGTATATAAGGGAAACGTCTTATATTATAGGACTTAATAATGTTCAACTTGAATTTTCAGTGTCTGTGGCTTAAGTAATCTTGAAAATTTTCACGTGACATTGTCTTATTGTCGTCTTTTTGCTCAGTCATTATACTTATTTGGCGATTTGTCTGTTTTTGATAATCTTTTCGTTATTCCTATTATTCTCTAAGGCGAATATTCAACAAATTTTTGAACTTAAAATAAAAACATGTCATTCAACCCTGGACTCTTAATATCTATAAGTAATGACAAACCAAACAATTGTCAAAGCTCTTTAGGGAAAATGTGACCTCATGTACTTGCCCCGCAAATAGTGTTTTTCTGTTAATTTGAATTAGGCATACTCGATTGGACCCAAAGATAAATAAAGTATATAACTAATGCAAATATAGAATACTGTATATTATAGATTTTAAAAGTATGACATCATTGTTTGGACTTCCTCGAAATGTGTTGGCTAATCTGTCAGATACAAGTGAGGTCGTTGCTAGGGGAGAAGACGAGGTGGAGAAGTTGAAAGTAGTTGGTGGGAAGCCGCTCGGTAGATATATTTTATATCATTCACACTGAACTGTTACATAAGTTTATAAATTGATTTATACATTTCGAGTCAGCTTCTTTGAACTCACCAGTACTGTCAAATGTGGAGGCATGATATATACCCGAGTTGGGCTCGAACCCATGCCCTGGGGTTAGAGAAGACAGACACATGTACCAAAAAAGCCACTGCTATCGAGCGATATAACTACAAGACGATTACACCGAATTTATAATATTGTATTATTAATCAATCAAATACACACTAAGCTTCTTGCAACATTTCTTTAAAGCTGCATACCTTCAGATAAGCAAAAGAATTTCAAAAAATAACTGACCTTTAAGAAACTGTACACAATTTTTTAAGTAAAGATAATGATTTACATGTTATGTGCGATTAAGAACTGATTTTGTAGTATTTATTACAATATTTCTAATGCGTTACTAACGCAGTTAGACATTTTTCTGCATATATTTTTGACCTACTTGTCTGTAATTAACGTGGATAGCAAGTGCTCTTTGTAATGTTCTTTGTTCACTTCACAATATCTTACTTTTAATTTTTATGAAGACAGCATGTATCTGGAGGCATGCTGCTTTAACTCTAAGCCTATTGCCAGCTAACCAGTGCAGGCCAAGCCGGCACATCCGTTTCATTAGACCATGGTCTGCACTGTACGTTATTCAGTATGTACATATTTTGAAATGTTTGTATTAATTCGTGTATCATTTGAGGTGACAGTGGGAGCATACTGGACTTTTTCAACAAAGATATAACTGATGCCGCTCGAGATGAAGTCTTGTTTACCATGGTAGCTCAACTTTATACTATTATACCAGTCATTGTTATCATTCGTAAGTTCGTCAAATTAATTTGTTTTTTTACTTTCTATAAAATATTGAGACAAACATACATAAATTGTCACGCCATTTTCTTTAAATATTCCAGCAAACAGTATTAATATACCAATATTTAAAACTTTATAAATATATATTAAGAAAAATGTGACTTCCTTATACATGATTACACATTTACGTCACTTATTTTGATCTTTAAACATTGACATTTACTTGTGTTTTAAGGTTGTTCTGTAAAGTTTTGACCTCATGGGAATGTCGTCAACATATCCCGTTTCTAGTGACATTCCCTGAAATATTTTAGCAAACATGTACAACAAACTATCCCCTTTCTGCAAGTGTTTTGGGAGTATTTCTGCTCCTATGAAACGGTATTTGACACGTTCTCATCTTTACGTTTTGTCATGAATTACGTGTACAAAGCAAATACCCATCTTTATGTCATGTCATGTAGCACGTGCGGAAAGAGATGTCTCGATTTACGTTATGTCATGTGTTCAACTAAACGTTATGCTATGTGACAAGACTTAGTGTTCAAAGAAATGTTGACATCTTCATGTTATGGGTGTAAGGAAATGTTGATGATTTTGTATGTCATGTTACACGTGCTCTTGTTTTTACAGTATGTCAAATTGGGTTTGCTATGGTACAGAGCGGAGCTTCACGGGTAGAAAGTGCGGCGGTACCATTTGTAACAAATATTCTAGTTTCAGGTACATGATATTGTCTTTCATATTATCTGTTGACTTGTCATCGTACATGTGATTTGCTGTAACCTTGATATCAATGATTTTTATAGATACATTTTTTGTCGCATTAAAAGGACTATTGGTAATAAGCGATGTGTTATAATTATACGGAAGTGTGGCGAAAAGGACCAACCAGTTGGATTGGTTCTTAACATTAGTTTCCATTATCGTACATAACGTAAAGGATTACCATATTTAAAATTTTAGAGATTTTTTATATCATATATCGATCCTACCAAACATACAAATCTTTATTCTGTTTTCTTTGTCTTTAATTTTAACTATGTTGTAAAATACAATTGTATGCATTATTCAAATACAGTTACATCAAGTTTGTCATTCTGGGCAGTTGGATATGCCCTGTCAAGATCGGAAGGTCTAACGGCCCTGGGATATCACCATTGGTTTAGTCACGATTTCGAACAGGAACTCTCTGTTGATTGGCTATTGCAGTTCAGCCTCGTTCTAACCACTGCTAACATTGCGACATCTGGCGGTCTAGAAAGATGTCCGATTTACGTTTACTGTTTACTTTCACCCATTATAGCAGGTAATACCAGTTTCATTTCTTATTAATTATCTTTTTATTATCATTGTGTATTTTTATCATAACAAAAAATACTTAATTAAGACAATTACATTCACAAAAAAAATATATTTTTCAATTTTCTATATGTTATGCGTAACCGCTTGTTCAACAAAACAATTTCTAGAAAACCGATAGTGATTGGATGCATTGTTTTATTTCACAGGGGTCGCAGCTTCTCTGTCAGGCCGATGGGCGTGGCATCATAACAGCTGGACGATTTCACATTGCCCGTTTGAAGGAGTTTCTTATAAGGTTAGACTATGTTAATACTTTTTAGCTCGACTATTCAATAAGAATAAGTAGAGCTATTGTAGTCACCCGAGCGTCGGCGTCTGCGTCGGCGTCGGCGTAACCACTTATGTTAAAGTTTTTGTAATAGTTTAAATATTTTCAAGGTCCATTGACATATGGCTTTGAAACTTTGCACACTTGTTCATCATCATGACCCCAACCTGTAGACAGGAGGAGGTAACTCTATCAAGCATTTGGCCAGAATTATGCCCCTTTTTCGACTTAGAATTTACGTTAAAGTTTTTGTAATAGTTTAAATATTTTCAAAGTCCATTGACATATGGCTTTGAAACTTTGCACACTTATTCAACATCATGACCCCAACATGTAGACAGGGGGAGGTATCTCTATCAAGCATTTTGACAGAATTATGCCCCTTTTTTGACTTAGAATTTACGTTAAAGTTTTTGTAATACCTCAAATTTTTTCAAAGTCCATTGACATATGGCTTTGAAACTTTGCACACTTATTCAACATCATGACCCCAACATGAAGACAGGAGGAGGTTACTCTATCAAGCATTTTGACAGAATTATGGCCCTTTTTCGACTTAGAATTTACGTTAAAGTTTTTGTAATACCTCAAATATTTTCAAAATTCATTGACATAAGGCTTTGAAACATGTTGAAATTTTATACTCTTCTTTGAGAGCATAATATGACATTCCAAGGCCTATAACGGTAATATGGATTTAAAGAAAAATTTTGCCTTTTTCTTTACTTACAAAATTTTACCTTTTCATCAAGGCTTTTTTTACTATCAAGCACTAAGAATAGTCGAGCGTTGCTGTCCTACCGACAGCTCTTGTTTTACACTCTTGATATATTCATTATTCTATTTTCAGTCCGTTTAACCGTCTGTCTGTTCAAAAAAATAGATGACCCGAAAATCCATTAAGGTAGAAAGTCCTTTTGTCTGTTCAAATTTTTTTGCGGCCTTAAGTCTATTTGGGAGTTTCATGATGTTTGAATCGATTGTTTATGTATTTGTTCTAAGCTAAGGACATGAGCAACATGACAAATGCACCATTTAATGGTCAAGGTCACAGTTTAAGTTAAATGGTTTGAGATGAATATCTTCTGTCCGATAAATATCACGTGCATGCACTTATTGTATGATATTAAAAATGTTTATGTCAATGGAAGGATAATAATACGTTAAATTTGCTTAATAAAGCGAAACATGTATAAGTATATGATTTTTTACATTATATGAAGTGCATTTTTGGCAATACAATTTTCATGAATAAAACTTATATTTTACTAAATAAGCTTAAATAACTATTTCGATTTCTGTTGACAATTATTATCATGTTCAATATTTTAAGGACCAGGGCGGAAGTGGTGTCATCCACATGGTCGGTGGATCCTCGGCACTGGTATTGTCCCTTATGCTCGGACCTAGGTACAGTCGAATTAGGGACACGAGGTCTAAAATACTGTTTAACGATCTTGATGGACACTCACTGCCGGTAAGATTATTTTGTATATCATTGAGGGATGAAATTCTTTATTATCTTTTTCATAATCAATGAATCCGTTAATCAAGCCGTTGTGGTCTGCAGGGGATTTGAAACAACAACAATAATAACTATTTAGAACTCGTTTTAATTTCCTTGAAAACATTTTTCAGCAAAATAAGGAAAAGAACATTCATTATTAATTCTAGGAATGCCCTTTGTCCGTCACCCTGTCTGTATGTCAGTCTTTCTGTCTGTGTGTCCGCTCCATATTTCCCACATTCTGTGAATGATTTTTACGAAACTGGGATCAAATATTAAGTTCACTTAGACGATGTAAAGGAGATACGAGTCAGCTATTTTGGATCAAGGTCACTCTTGAAGGTCGAATGTCCTGTGTTTCGTGTCCGCTCCATATCTCTTAAATTCTTTAAAAGGTTTTCATAAAACTGCTCAAAAGTTCAGTTCACTAAAACCGTATTATAAGAGCTCGTTCAACTGTCCTAGATAATGGTCAGCTGTATTGCTACAAAGGTATCGTGGTGGGGGATATAGCTATCCTTTGGACTGCCCTGTGGTACATAAAGCCTCGGTCTCACTTACTCCCGGCAGAGCCCAGGACCATCCCGGTAAGTTACCGGGATGATCCGGGACGATCCGGGATGAAATTATTGTTGCGGTCACACTTACCCCGGCAGCACTACGGTAGTTCTCTACTAACCACCCAGGATGCGCTCCGGATCATCCAGGCAGAGCCCAGGTGAAGCTACGGTTCATGCCGGTGCTTCCCCGGTCGTTCCCGGATGACGCCGGAAGAGCCCCGGTTGACCCAGGCAGAGCCCCGGTCGATCCAGGCAGAGTCCCGGCAGAGCCCAGTACGATCCAGGCAGAGCCCCGGTAGAACCCCGGTGGATTGAAAACGCCCGAAAATGATAACATTGATACATAATTTTTATATAATATAATATCTATTAGTAATTCGTGATGATTTTCTGAAAAATCCTTATGCCATACTGGATAGAAGCGAAATGGGAAGGGTTTTAATACAAACAAGTGCAATCATCGCAAACTGTCGTTATTCTTTTGAAATGATCCGGGCTTTGCCGGGGCTCTACCGGGATCAACCGTAGCTCTACCTTTATCCTCCGGGGCTCTGCCTGTAGTTACCGGGGCTCTGCCGGCATATATCGGGGCTCTACCGTAGCTCTACCGTAGCTCTACCGGCTCTATCATACCCCGGATCATCCCCGGTTTGTGCCGGCAGAGCTACGGTGCTTTCCCGGTATAACCCCGGTCGTTCCCGGCAGAGCTAAGGATGAAGCCGGCAAAGCTATACCTTCCCGGATCATCCCGGACCACCCCGGTAATATTAAATATTTTATTCCATCCGGGGTCGAATGCCGGATGTTCCCGGATCATCCCGGATCATCCAGGACGTTGCCGGCAGAGTTACGGATGTACCCCGGTTGTTCCCGGTCGTACCCCGGTCGTTCCCGGATCACCCCGGACGTCTACCGGGGCTCTGCCGGGGCTCTGCCGGGATGTAAGTGAGATATTGGGCTATGCGTGCTACAGTGTTAATTTTATTTATGTTTTGTTAATTTATGATTTACTCTAATTTTTCGCTATCTTGGGTTTTAGGCTATAAGAGGATACCTCGGTACTTTTTAATTTCAGTAGGTTACGCCTGCTTTTTAGCATCTACCTATTACATCTACGTTATATAGTCTATTTTTATTCATGTTTCAATGTTAAATGTCTGTACCTATATAAGTTAAGATTTGAAATAGACACAAATGTTACTTAATCGGCTACCTTTTTTTGTATTTTAGCTCGAGATTATTGGATGGTACTTTAATGTCATCTGCTACATTTGCTGTAACTTCGTTCGTCTGACATCCACGTGCATCAAGTGTCATTCAATAAGTTATGTCGTGGCACATGCTCTTGTAAACAGTGTGATAGCAGCTTCATCCGCGTGTCTGGGAACATATGTATTTATATCTATCATGAAGTCTTTGATGGTAAGAACACCTTTCAAACTTCTATATTATATTTTAGATATTGTTTGTTAGATATAGGTAACAACATTGTGTATTGTAGCTCAGATGCGCATTGATATAGTTACTATAGACCTTAGTGATTAGTGATATAGACCTTAGTGATTAGTGATATAGACCTTAGTGATTAGTGACATGACAACCTGTGCATCATATACATATAATAATGTAGTTCTGTAAAACGTCCATTCTGCTCATAGGAGAAGGACCAATGAGAATTTGACAGAATACCAGTGATATGATTGATTGCTGAGAAATTATCTTAGCGATAATAAACCGGACGGACTGTCAGGTAGACGGACTTTCCTTCTGTCGGTGGTATGAAATACAAATATACAACTTCCAGTTATAAATGAAAATTTCAAGTTAACCTTTTTTATATTATTTTCAGGGTAGAATACGCTTTCATTATCTTTTATCAAGGCAACTTGCTAACGGAGTCATTATTGGAATTGTAAGTAAACTATAATTTTATCATTTCAAACATATAAAACTAAACTGTTTTTGTTAATTATCATTTCAATCGCAAACTAAGTTTTTTGTTGATAATCAAACAGTTTGACATACAGCCCTTGAGTTGTTATGATTATTTTTAGAAAGACAAATAATAAAAAGAAATAAACTGATCGTATATGTTATAATTCGACTCGTTATTTTATATGGTCTTTTTTGTTCAGATTTCAGTTGCCGCCGGAAGTGACGTATATGCGCACTGGGCTTCGTTTGTTGTTGGTATTACAGCGGCTATAACTTATGTGATCTGGTGCCAGTTATTATATTTTTTCAGAATAGACGATCCTACAGGCGTCATAGCTGGTATTATTTTTAATTTCTTTGCTATTATTACTATAGATAATTGTTCATATTGTTTATGCATAAGCTTGTCTAAGTCGAGCTGCTATGATCGTTGTGGTCGTGCAAAAAACTTTAATGTAGTCTATTATTCAAACATTTCAAAAGCTATCATCATTGAATTTGGTATGTTTGTTCTTTATGGTGAAGTTGTTTCGCTAGGGGTATGATTCTGAAAGCTTTATTTTTGAAGTTATACCTTTTTTAACTTATAATTCAAAATTGCTCATTCATAAGGCGACCGGTGGTGCTCTTGTTAAAAATGAAAGTAAAAGTACAGCTACAACTTAAAAAAAACCAACATGTTTGACAAATAATCATTCTACTTATTTTTTTATTGAACAGTTAAATATATTAACAGCACAGCATTACTTTGGGTTTATTTGCAGTTTTGTAGTGATGGCGTATCATACAGAGATGAAAAGTTTTGCCTTTGCCTTACACTTTATTTAAGATCGAATTGACATAATGATGAATTAGAACTGATATATTGGTGTATGCACTTTCCTGGTATTCATGCATGTCTCATTTCTATTTATAGTACATTTGGGCGGTGGTCTGTGGGGAGTTATATGTGTCAACATACTGAGGGAGGGTAATGGACTAGTTTTTGCAGATAACACATCAACCGCTGCATTGGTAATGTTCTTTTGTACTTTATTTGTTGGCATCTCAAAAACTACCGAAGAGAATGGATTGAAATTTTACACACTTATTTGAGAGCATAATAGGAGGTCACTGTCAAAGGCTCATAACTCTTTGACAGAATTATGACACTTTTTGAACTTTGAAAATTCTTCAAGGTCCAGGCTTTTGTTTCAAGCACTGAGAATAGTCGAGTACGCTGTCCTATCGACAGCTTTTGTTTGTTTTGTGTTGGCAAAAAAAATGATGTGAATATCGTAAGGATAAAGCTATGTATATAAATGACTAAAAGGGAAAAATATACCATTTCAACCCCATATGTTCAAAATGTTAACATAGCTAGATGCACAGCGGACTGACATTTTCTCTTCTAGTGTTCTGTAAAGCTTACATTGGTTTGATTTAACATTATCGTGATTTTAATGGCATGTGCCAAACATAATCAGTTAATCACGACGACCAGTTACAAAATCATATTCAAGACTGAAACTTTGGCGTTGTTTTCTTTCCATATATTTTATCAGACTGTAGGCGTACCGCCTAAGACTCAAAGTTTTTAGATTTGTATAATTCTTTGAATTATTATAAAACAAACATCAGGAAAAAGAAAAACAACAAAACGCTTACAATTTGGCATGCTGAGGCTTATGGACGGATGTAATTCAAACAATAAACAACATTTTTACGAAAATTCAATAATTTTAATAAATGAATATTTCAAAACTCCCTTTTAGCAAAGTTCGAAATATCGCAAAACGTTTAAAAACATATACAAATAATACAAATAATATTCCATATTTTAAAAGTATATCGTCTGTTTCATCATCTGAAAATAGAATAGATTTATTTATTTATTTGTTTATTTTTTTTTTCAAAATGAATTATAGTCATATAAACTTTTATAATATCAAACGTCTTACTTATCAAATATTAATGTTCTTGCAAGAGAAGTTATGTCGGTGAATTCATACGCGAGAAAATGTGCCTTAATTTAGGTTACTAGTATTTTGTTTTTGCATAGCAACGAAGCACGACTTAAAAAGGTCTATAAAAATGTTGTTATTTAGCGTTCATGTTGATTCAGCGAAAATAGTAGCAGAAAACGATATGTGAAATGAAACGAAACTATAAAAAACTAAAACACGATTTAATATGAATATCAAGTATGTATAAAGCGCAATGCACTTACTTTTCTATGAGTTTCCATTTGGAAGATCGTACACATTCTTGTCGCCTGCATTAATATCGGAAACATCTGTAAAATAATAATTTTCAAACAAGTATGCGTTATTCTAGCAATTAACGATAGGGCATTTAAGTAATATAACAAACGGCACCAGCCTATTCTCTGTTGTTAACCTTAGTTGGGCATTTAATTAAGTCAGATTTCCAAACTATATACATGTAACTGAAATAAACTGGAGAAATAAAATGAGCTTACCTATGAAATCCGAATAGGCTTTTGGTTTGTTGGGTTTGTTTGCTGATTGGTTGATGTCGGTCTCCTTGGCAATAGCTGACAAACTCTGTGTGACAGCAATGTCGGCTATTTCTAGAATCATAAAGAATAAAGTTCTTGTCATAAATAATTCCTTTGAATTGTACTCGTATATTGTGCAACATTCATAATGAATCAAATGGATAAATTTTGTCTTAAGGAGATTCTTATGATAGTTATTTTTTTCAAATTAAGTTCGACTTATAGATCTATGAACTTTCTTATCTTTGGGTTTTTTTATTATTTAATCTTCGGTTTTATCTCACTTGTGCTTTAAAAACAACAATTGGTGTTATATATATTTTGTTCTTTGCATTGAATTCTACTTACGGCTGATCACACTTGATGTCATGGAAATATTGTCGTCTGCCTCAACTTTGATCAGTTTGGTGTTGCTTAGCAACTGTGAGTCACACGTCAATGTGTCGACTGCTGATTTTAGAATTCCTGCTACATATTCCTCAACTTTTATGAAAGATACAAAAAATAAGAAATTTGCAAAGTTATTTAATAGTACAGTCCCTGAGGACCTTTTGTGTGCAAAAAAGGTCCATAGATAAATCTTATACCAATGTAAAGCTAAATGTTTGAAGTTTACAAAAATTTTGGGTAGACATGTCGGATCATGGTACGTTTTGAGAAATCCAAGATGGCCGCCAAGATGGCCGCCAAATTATTGAAAAATGGCTAATACGCAATTTTATATGATAAAATTAGTTCTTTTTGTATTTATTTTGGTACAGGTGATGTTAAAAAAACTTCACATCCTATTGGAACAATATGAAAATGGGAGGCATTTCCATTATTTTTTCATATTCTCTGAATTTCATAGATCAATTTTTGCTAAAAAATGCATGAAAAAATTATCCAAAAAAATTGATAGTGGGGCTGACATTTTTTTCCTACCAGCTAAAGGCTTAGCGGTGTAAATGAATATTTTTACCAATATACTACAAAGACTTGAAACAAGATCATACTAATATCACCTTATTAATTTAATCTTTACTGTAAAAAGAATGTGGGATCTGATATTCTTAAAGTGGTGGGGTAACGAAAACTAAGTCTCAGTATTTTGTTAACTGGTTTGGTTATGATAATTAAAACTATGAGTAGTCAACATATATATTGCACTTTGGCATGTACCTAAAGTTATAAATAATTAAGAAACTAAGACTGATATTTTTGTTTATCAATATTCAACATGTTCTGTTGCCATGGCAACGGAGAAGTAAAATGAAAGACACACCTGAAACGTATGACACTTTCAACTTTTAGCATTTTAAGCATGTTGTTAAGAATGACACAAACTTACAGATAAATAATCTGTGCACAATGCCATGGTAACAAATTGAAAAAAAAGTAACATTAAAAGAAGTCACATTTCATTCTAGCAAATTATCAACACAGATAACAGCCGATATTTTGAAATTTGATGAATAAATTTATTTCAAGAATTTGCATCATGCATTTGCTTTTTTCAAACTGCTATACATAGAAAAAAGGTCATGTTAAATGTGAATGTTGTTATGTTTGGAAAGGATAATTAATGGTGATAATAATAAGTAAAAGGCAGTCTTAAGGTAGAAATGTATATAAACATTATCAAATGTTTGAAACTGTACATAGGGTAAACATTTAAGACTTTGCAGCTAAAACGAGAAATAAATAGGTCACTGGTTCAAATTCTAGGTCAACCAATATCAAATTTTAATGACAATCGAATTTATTGTTGAGTTCAAACTTTTTGGTTATAGCTTGTATTATGAAATTCTAACTTGCATTAGATAAAATTCTAGGTCAACTGATCTCAGTGTATAATTCTGCATCTGAATTTTTACAATCAAAATACAAAGAGAATACTAGGACAGGTTTAGGTCAGCTGGCATGTCATATTGTGTCTGTTATCCAAATTTTGTTAGCTTCAAAAACAAGAAAGTAAGTCACGAAGTCTTAAATTCTAGGTCACCTTATAACAGTGGGGCCATGATTTGGACAATCAAAGAGGAACACAAGACAATTCTTCCAACCAAATGGTCTTGCATTGTGGTTTCTGACATAAAGAGTTTTTTTATATAAAAATCGACATCTAAGCAGGGCCATTTTTATGCTCCCCGAAAAATTATGGGGGAGCATATAGTCGCCGGGCGTGTGTCCAAAACCTAGTCGGGGAGCATCACCTGGTTCAACCGGTTCTTGTTTTAATCCAGACTCATGATCATTATTTGATGCCTGCAAACTTAGCACTTTACGGAGAGTGTCGGATGTGAAGTCCAGGCGTCTCTTGTTCCACAGACAACAATTGATCTCGGACATTGAGTTTTACGGTCATTTGTCTGTCAAGCTTAGTAGAAATTGGTCATTACTCTTCTGGTTATTTATCCATGAAAGTCAGATAGTTCAACCAACCTTCAAGCTATCAACAAAGAAGTGTTGAAATTGGCGTATAACCCAGACCCGGCCCTTTCATGATTTGAAGAAACATGGTAAAAGTCTTCTAGAAATTGTTTCACATGCTCTAAACAATGGCGTTAAAGGGATGATTTTATAAAGGATTTTATATATAAGTTAGACTATGTAAATCAATTGACCCTTGGGAAAGGTTATTATAATCAAACGGATCATGCTTTTACCAAGCTTAGAATTTGTGTATTATTTCTATTATATGATTTATATCTTGACATAAATTGATATGGTCATAGAATGAATGCCTCACACTTAAATATCAAAGCATTTTATTTATGGAGAAGATAGTTTTCAAAGCCTTTAAAATAACTAAAAGTATACTAAAATACTAAAACAAGTAAAATGACTCCTTGGGTTAGGTCCACTTTGACCAGATTGTCAAGATTTGAAAAATAAATTAAGTTTTTTTTGACAATGCTTTTAACCCAAAATCTAAGATCTGGGCATTTGGTTTTGGAAAAAAATATGATTTTAAAAAGTTTTCCTATGTGTCTCCATATGAAATAAGTTGACCCTAGGGGTGGGTTAAATTTTCATTTGAATAAATTTTGTACTGGTCTATACAAGGCTACAACAGAAATAATTAGCTATAGGCATCAGTATGGGAGAAGTTATTTTTTTAACCTTTTCCTATATGTAAATTGAAGTGACCCCTGGCATAAATGAATTTGACCACAAGGTCGTGATTTCAGCAAATTTAATAGTATTATATACTAGGTCCTGCAGTTATGGAGAAGAATATGTTCATGTTTTTTCCTATATTTACACTGTGTAAAGAAAGTTTACTCCGGGGCTTCGCAAGAAACATGAATGTGTACTTCTTGACCTTTTACCAACCATGACCTTGATGTTGTGCCATGTATATCATAAGCACATAGTCTCACGATGGTGATTATTTGTGCCAAGTTATTTAAAATCTTCCATAAAGTTATGGAGAACATATAACATTGACCTTGGTTGCAGCGACCTGGATGTTGAGGTCTGTAAATTGTGTCGTGGTGGGGATCATTTGTGCTAAGTATTTTAAAAACCT